AAAAAACTTGAGTCAAGCTACCAAAGTATTTTGACTGCATAAATCTGGGGGAAGAAAAGTTTAGTTTGTTTGACTGAAATGTTTTGCTGCCATTTATAAATGGGTAATAAGAACAAAAAACAGCCCATATACAAAGTAGGTTTTCAGTAAGTGACTGAGTTGAACTAAACTTAAGAATCTAACTACTAATTTAAATGTTAATGGTTTAAACCTGAATCAGTTTATTTAGTAGCACCACAGAAGAAAAGCCTGGTAATATGCTTCTGTCAAGTTTACTGCCAAGAAAACCCTATGGAGTAGTGCTGCTCTGTAACACAAAGGGTCACCATGAGTTGGAATCTACTTGATGGCAACTTGTTTGGTTTGGTTTAAATATCTCCTAAGAGCCCTGGACGGCACAAATGGTTAAGTGCTCAACTACTAACAGAAAGGTTGATGGTCTGAACCCACCCAGAGGTGCCTCAGAAAAAAAGTCCTGACAATCTAGTTCCAAAAGGTCACAGTTATAACAATCCTGCGGAGCACAGTTTTACTCTGCAACACATGGGTCTCCATGTGTTGGAATCAACACCATGGCAGCTGGTTTGGTCTTGCTTTAAACATCCCCCATTATTTAGTCTTTGAAGGATTGATTACTCTGCCTTTTCTCTTAGTGATTCTTCTTTGGGCATTAACTTCTTACATTTGGAGGAATCTTTTTTTTTTAATGAAAGGGCATTGCAGCTTCAGTAGGGGACAAAATGAACAAAGTCTAATCTTCCAGCTGCCTCCTAGCCATTTCCTTAGAGCCTATCTCGACCTATAGGTAGCTCCCAAATTTTTATATGGGAGGGGCTGGTTGGAAGAGATATGAAGCTATGTTTACATAGAAGAAACTCTTACATGTGGTGCAGTGGTTAAGTGCTCAGCTGTGGTTTGAACCCCAGGTACTCCTCAGAAGGATATGGCAGTCTGCTTCTGTAAAGATACAGCCTAGAAAAACCTATGCAGCAGTTCTCTGCTTACAGGATCACGGTTGGAACTGAATTGACAGCACTAAATTTGTTTTTTGTTTGTTTTATGTATGATTAGAAAAATGTCAACTGTCCACACCAAAGTAGAGAAACCCTACTGCCACTGAGTCAGTTCTGACTCATAGCAACCCTATAGGACAGAGTAGAACTGTTCCATAGGGTTTCCTAGGCGATGGCAAATAACAACAATAACAACAACAACAATCTTTAGGGAAGAGGACAGCCTCATCTTTCTTCCGCAAAGCAGCAGGGTTAGAACCACTGACCTTTTGGTTAAATCGAATGTCACCAGAGCTCCTTAATATCGAGTTAGTCACTGAAAAAACTCATTGCTGTCAAGTTGAATTCCTACTCATAGCAACCCTATAGGACAAAGTAGAACTGCCCTACAGTGTTTCCAATGCTGTAAATCTTCACGCAAGCAGACTGCCACATTTTTCTTCTGTGGTGCCACTGGTGGGTTCACACTACTGACCTTTTGGTTACCAGTCCAGCACCTTATCAATTCTTCCTTCAAAGCATCTCAGAAACTTTTCTCCAGTCCTGCCAGCCTTCTGGTTAGCAGTCAAATGCTGAGGTACTACACCACCAGAGGTCCTTTTCGATTCTAGCAGAACAGAAACACAACATGAAGATCTGGCTGCCCAGTCTGGATGAGAAGATGAGAAACACACATGAGACATAAGTGGAAGAAAACTGTGTAAGAATAATAAAAATACCAAGAAATTCAAAATAACACAGCTCCAAACAAGTCTTACATGCAGATCCTGAAATAATGGCTGGTACTGCATTTGTCTTACAGAAATCCAGAGCAGTTGGAGTCCTTCCTGCGTGTTCAACATCAGTGGCGAGGTGTCTAGGGTCCAGCTCAGGCCACTCTGATGATTCCAGTCACCACTCCTTAAGATTAGGAAGTCTTCACTTCCAGATTAACTACTCCCCACCCAGAGCACAGTACATAGATTTATCCTGTTATCGGATGCCGTGTAGTTGATTCTGACTTATAGGTACTCCACATGACAGAGTAGAACTGCCCCACAGGGTTTCTAGGTTGTATTCTTTATGGAAGCAGATTGCTAGGTCTTTCTCCCATGGAGCTGCTGGGTGGGCTTGAACTGTAAACTTCTCAGTTAGCAGTGAAGTGTCTAACTGTTGTATCACCAGGACTCTGTGTGTGTGTTTGTGTGTGTGCATATTGTTGTTGTTAGGTACCAACAGGTTGGTTTTGACTCATAGCAACCCTATAGACAGACAACAGAACATTGCCTGGTCCTGTGCCATCCTTAGCAATTGTTGGTATGTTTGAGCCCTTTGTTGCACCCACTGTGTCAATCCATCTCGTTGACAGTCTTCTTCTTTTTTGCTGACCCTCTACTTTACTAAGCTTGATATCCTTCTCCAAGGACTGGTCCCTCCTGGTAACATGTCCAAAGTACGTGAGATGCAGTCTCGCCATCCTCACTTCTAAGGAACATTCTGGTTGTATGTCTTCCAAGACCAATTTGTTTGTTCTTCTGGAAGTCCATGGTATATTCGATATTCTTTGCAACACCATAATTCAAAGACATCAATTCTTCTTCAGTCTTCCTTGCATTGTCCTGCTTTCACATACAAATGAGGTGACTTGGGTCAGGTGCATCTTCATCCTCAAAGGACAAAAACATCTCTGCTTTTTAACACTTTAAATAGGTCTTTTGCAACAGATTTGCCCAAAGCAATATGTTGTTTGATTTCTTGACTGCTGCGTCCATCAGCATTGACTGTAGATCCATATAAAATGAAAACTAGTGTTAGCACAATTAATAGGAGCTCTGGTAGCATAGTGGCTAAGTCACTTGCCTGCTAACCAGATGGCTGGCGGTTCAAACCCACCAGCCACTCCTCGGAAGGAAGGTTGGGCAATCCTACTTCCGTAGTGATACTGCCTCGAAAACCCAAGGAGAGGTCGCTATGAGTCGGGGCCGACTCGATGGCACATAACAACAGCAACAACAGCACAATTAATATTTCATCCTAATTTTAAAAATTTATGTTTATATTTTACCCTTACCTGGACAGCTCATTCTTTTGATTCTTACTGCCCCTCACTCTCTTATAAGAACCAACACAGCATGCCACTGTTTGTAGTCTAGAAATTAAATGTTTGTTAAATCATACACACCTAAAAACCAAACTCACTGCCATCGAGTCGATTCTGATTCATGGAAATCCCTTTGGGTTTCCAAGGAGGTAAATCTTTACAGAAGTAGATTGCCCAGTCTGCCTTCCTCAGAGTGGCTGCTGGGTTTGAACCAACAAACTTCTGGTTAGCAGTCAAATGCCTTAGGCACTATGCCCACAGAGTTCCTTTTGTTAAATCATAGAGCTTTAGAATTTTAGAGTCTCAAGAAATCTCTTGTCTAATCCTTTACTTTACTGATGAAGAAACAGGTTTTCAGAGAAAGTAGGTGACTGGCCCAAAGTCAAGGAGCTGTAGTGGTGCAGTGTTAAGGCATTTGGCTGCTAATCAAAAAGTCAGCAGTTCAAACCTACCAGCTGCTCCAAGGTAGAAAGATGAGGCAATCTGCTTCAGTAAAGATTACAGCCTTGGAAACCCTTTTGGGGATAGCTATGAGTCTGAATCTACTCCACAGCAGTGAGTTGTTTGGTTGCCCAAAATCATAATGCTGGTTGGTGACAAAGCAAGGACCAGAACTCAAATTTGTACCCAGGTTTATCCTGCTTGCAGTCTGAACCCTAAATTGTCCTTAGATAATCAGTGACAAAAATATCTGACTTTACACAAGTAGTCCTGGGCATGTTGGTGGTGATAAGAGTGATAGGCTTTACTAAAACATTACAAAGATTCCGTTCCCGCCACTTGCAAGATTGCCCCGAAAGAGTAACTTCTAAGTTTGGTGTTGGGCAGAGTCACAAGTTACATGCAGCACTTGTTTTATGAATCCGTCGGCCTAGTCTCTCAGGTTCTTCTGACAGAAGGGCGTCCCAAGGGCCCCATACGCAGGGGCTCCCCCTCCCGATTCCTCGCCGGCTGCGGTCTGTCATACAGCAGCAGCGCGGCCCGCCCCCACGTGGACTCGGCTCAGAGGATCAAAGTCTGAATGCTGCCGGGTCCCCGCAGGTGAACGAGGGGCTGCGAGTGTCCGCAGCGCGGGAGCTGGGACACTGCAGGACCGGAGGGTCCCTGCCAGCCCCGCCCTTCCCCTCCTCCTCCTGCTGCACGCGGCCCGCGCCCCCTACCCTCCCCCACGACGCCCGGCGCTGCACCCGGCTGCGGCCCCGGGCCCACGCCCGGCTCCAGGATGGAAAAGGCCCCGCCCCCATCAGTTGGAGTCGTGACCCCGCCCCCTCCCGCCTCGCTGATCAGACAACCAATGGAGAGCGCGATGGGCGGGGCGGGGCAGCTGTCGTGAGGAGGTCCTGGCCAATAGGGAAGCATACTGGGCCTGGTAGGCGGGGCGTCGAGGCCTTGTCACGCTCGGGTCCGTGTGAAAACGGGGGTTCCGAGTGCAAAGCAAAGTTTTTTTGTAAACCGTCTGCAAAGGCGGGGGGTGGGGGCGAAGAAGGCGCCCGAGACGGGGCCGAGTGCAGCTACCGTGGCCGCCGCCTCTCAAGCTCTTAAGCTGTCGCCTCCTCAGCCTGAACCACAGAGAAGACCAGCGCAGAGAGCCCGCAGATGCTTGGAGCCTTCTTGGCGCAGAGCTGCCCGTCGCCCGCCGCCGCTGCCCGCCTGCTCCTGCTCCTGCTCCGGCTCCTGGTCCCCCGGCCCCGGGAGCCCCAGCTTCCCGCCGCCACCGCTGCCACGGCCGCAGCCTCCTCTGCCACCCCGCTGTGGGTGTGGGGGCTGCTGGGGCTGAGCCGGGCCTCAGCGCCGGCTCCGGGGACTGACGCCTGAAGAGCTGCGCGCCGCGGCGCCACCTCTCGCCTTGGACTCCCGCAGGCACGGGGGCTCGGTGGCTTGACCCGGGGTTCGTCCCAGTCCGGCCGCGGGAGCCCCTCAGCAACTCCTCGAGCGGTCCGGATCGGGTGGTGCGAGCTCCGCGCCGCCCTCCCACAGTCGCCAAGTCGCCGGCCCTCCACTCCTCGCCGCCGCCTCAGGAGTCTCCAGGTCGCACTCGGCGCGCCCCGCAGCCGCAATCATGGGGTGCTGGGGTCGGAACCGGGGCCGGCTGCTATGCATGCTGGCGCTGACATTCATGTTCATGGTGCTGGAAGTGGTGGTGAGCCGGGTGACATCGTCGCTGGCGATGCTCTCCGACTCCTTCCACATGCTGTCGGATGTGCTGGCGCTGGTGGTGGCTCTGGTGGCGGAGCGCTTCGCCCGGCGGACCCACGCCACCCAGAAGAACACGTTCGGCTGGATCCGGGCGGAGGTGATGGGGGCTCTGGTGAACGCCATCTTCCTGACCGGTCTGTGCTTCGCCATCCTGCTGGAGGCCATCGAGCGCTTCATCGAGCCGCACGAGATGCAGCAGCCCCTCGTGGTCCTCGGCGTCGGCGTGGCCGGGCTGTTCGTCAACGTGCTGGGGCTCTGTCTCTTCCACCATCACAGCGGTTTCGGCAAGGACTCGGGCCACGGCCACTCGCACGGCGGCCACGGCCGCAACAAGATAAGCCGCCCCGGGAGCAGCGACAGCAATGTGAACCCGGGCAAGCAAGGGCCCGACCAGGAGGAGACCAACACCCTGGTGTCCAACAGCAGCAACTCGAACGGGATGAACCTGGACCGTGCGGGTGAGCCGATTGCTGCGCCGCCGCAGGTGGTTGGTGGGAGCCCGGACCGGCCGCCGCGGTGGCCCCGCGCCCCCTGGCGCCCGAAGTGTCTGCGCGCCCTCCCCGCCTCTTGGCCGGGATTCCAAGCCCTTAGTGGGGTGGGCCTGCGGGGGGCGCGCCTGGCGATGTAGGTGCGCACTGTGGTTCTGAGCGTGGGCAGAGGGTCAGGAGGTGACCGTCGTCCCGCTCCAGTCCGCAGCTGGACTTGGTTGTCTTTACCGGCATTTTGAAGACACTACCCTATTTTGGCTTTAACGGGATCAGAAATGATTCCTCATTACGTTTCTTGGTCCCTTGGGAAGGGAAGAAAATTCCCAGTACGTCCTTAGGTGTTGAGTGTTTGAAACCTTGCACTACCAAGTTCTGGCTGTGAAACATGTTTCATAATACTAAATTCAGAGCAGACCTGTTGTTGTTGCTGTTTGCCGTCGAGTCGGGACTCATAGCGTCCTCTCCTTGGATTTCCGACGCAGTATCTAGATTGCCCAACCTTCCTTCCGAAGAGTGACTGATGGGTTTGAACCGCCAGACTTCTGGTTAGGAGTCAAGTGCCTTAGGCACTATGCTACAAGAGCTCCTAGAGCAAGCCTAGCAGTTGGTTTTCCCACGCTCAAAACTCTGGTTAAGATTTTTTTTTTTTTTTTTTAATGAATATCAATGTATGTTTCAGTTTATTGATCTCTCCTCCTGAAAAAGGGGGGTGGGCTGGTGGCACCGTCGTTATCTCGGCTGCTAACCGAAAGGTCAGCGGTTTGAACCCACCAGACACTTCTCAGGAGAAGGACACAGCAGTCTCCTTCCCTAAAGATTACAGCCTTTGAAACCCTATGGGGCATTTCTACCTTGTCCAAAAGGGTCTCCTAAGAGTCGGGATCCACTGGATAGCAGTGGGTTTGGTGGTTTTGGATTTACTCCTAAAAATCCCAGGTATAGCACCTTTTTAACATTTACTTCACTTAGCGCTTTTCCCAGTCATTCTAAAATGAAAGTGCGGATGATTTATTCATCTTATATAGATGGTTTTCATTATAAAAATAAGTGTTGTTGAAGGATTTTTGGACAGTAACAGAAATGTTGGAAGAAAGCAGATGGTAAAAGAAATCAACCAGTGCCCCACCACTCAAGCTCAATGGCTATTGACAGTTTGGTGTATTTCTCTCCAGTTTTTTCCATTGATACTTATTTACCTGGTTGTATCATACTCCATAGGCAAATTTCCTTTTTTTTTTTCTGAGATGCAGGATATCATGTTAATGAATGCATTAATATTCAATGTTGGACATTGAAAAGGTGTAATAATTGAATTTCCTCTCACCTCCACTCACTGAGGGATGTTTAAAAAAAAATTAAGTTGCTCTGGTGTGTATAATTGTTTTAAAAGATCAAGAGCTAGAAAGGAATGCACTAGTTCCAACCTTTCTTGAAGTAGCTTTAATAATGGTTTCTGTGATTGTTGATAGATTCATATTGCTGATTTGTCAGTTTCTAAAGTCCCTCAGACTGTCTTTTATAGTCATGATAAAAGTTTAAAAGTTAAACTCTCAAGAGATTGACCTTAGTGCCTACAACCAAAGCCTAGTGTCAAATCAGGCAGTTTATATTGATAGACTCATCCATAGCTGTTCGTATTCAACTTTGGATGGTAACATTCAATTTTATGCTTTGGTTTTTGTATAAGCAAAAAAGTCTAGCAGAATGTTAACAGGACCCCACCCCCATCGAAAGATAAACTTCTTTGAAGGAGAGGGTGGTTAGGAGAGTGGGGAAGCAGTATCATCTTAATGACTTAATTTAGCCCTGGCCATTATGCCCTGGCTTGGTCCCAATATGTCAATTTATATTAAATGGCCCTGCACAGATTTCAGAATTTTACTTGATGACAACTTTTTCATTTCAAAAGGAGGCAGGCATTTTTTGCTGCCTTTACAGCTTAAGTGGAATTGGACAAGAATGAAGTTTTATGTATACACTCTGAATGTATTAATAATTTTTGTTTCTTTGTAGATTCAGAAAAATCCAGAAATGATGCAATGGAAGTACAAGTGAATGGAAATCTTATCAAAGAACCTGACCATATGGAATTAGAAGAAGATAAGACTGGACAACTTAACATGCGTGGAGTTTTTCTGCATGTCTTTGGAGATGCCTTGGGTTCAGTGATTGTAGTAGTAAATGCCTTGGTGTTTTACTTTTCTTGGAAAGGTTGTCCTGAAGGGGAGTTCTGTGTGAACCCATGTACCCCTGACCCTTGCAAAGCCTTTGTAGAAATCATTAATAGTACTCATGCTCCAGTTTATGAGGCTGGTCCTTGTTGGGTACTATATTTAGACCCAACTCTTTGTATTGTAATGGTTTGTATACTTCTTTACACAACTTATCCATTACTTAAGGAATCTGCTCTTATTCTTCTACAAACTGTTCCTAAGCAAATTGATATCAAACATTTGATAAAAGAACTTCGAAATGTTGAAGGAGTTGAGGAAGTTCATGAATTACATGTTTGGCAACTTGCTGGAAGCAGAATCATTGCCACTGCTCACATAAAATGTGAAGACCCGACATCATACATGCAGGTGGCTAAAATCATTAAAGACGTTTTTCATAATCATGGAATCCACGCTACTACCATTCAACCTGAATTTGCTAGCGTAGGCTCTAAATCAAGTGTAGCCCCCTGTGAGCTTGCTTGCAGAACTCAGTGTGCTTTGAAGCAATGTTGTGGGACACGGCCACAAGCCCTTTCTGGAAAGGGTGTAGAAAAGGCCCCAGCAGTTAGCATTTCGTGTTTAGAGCTTAGTGACAATCTAGAAAAGAAGCCCAAAAGGACTAAGGTTGAAAACATTCCTGCTGTTGTGATAGAGATAAAAAAAATGTCAGCCAACCAACCTGAATCATCTTTGTAAGTCTTGAAAAGATATGTTTGACTATTGCTTTTAAGCTGCAAGAGGAAAAAAATCTCCACTGAAATTCTAAGTTTGCCAAGTAGTATAATTGAAGTCCTTGTTCTGGTCACACAGTTTAATTCTATTTTTGTAAGAAGATAATGGGACTGCATAACAGAGTTCTATATTACAACTTTGTGATTATTAGTGCAGTGTACAGCTATGCTGTAACAGTTTTGGAAAGCCAGTTTTTAACACTATGTTACATTTTTGTTTAAGTATAAACCTTATATAACATAATGGCATTTGATTTCCGTTTTCCCATGGTAAAAATTAGGGGGATAAATAAATTGAAATTGTTATTGGAATTTCTCTGCTTTTCTTTTCCCCCCAGGGTTGTACTTTTGTGTATTAGAATTATAATTGCTAGAACTTGAAATCATCAACAAGTTTGTTTTCTTTGATATTTCAGATGATATTTACTTGCCCTTTAAGTTAAGATCATTATGTAGTATAATGGCAACATATTTTAAGAATGACTCAAGGATATATTAGTAAGAGAAGTTCTTTTTTTTTTTTATTTACATGGAGTATAATACTAAAGATAAATTACTATCCTCTGTTCTGCCTTTCTGAGTGTTACTCTAATAAACAGTGAGATCATTAACAAATTGTGAACTATAGTTTACACATGTAAGAGGATATATGGGGAATAAGAGCAGGGAAAAAAGTTTACCAAACTAAATGTTATTTAGATTATTGTATGCTAACATTCAGAAGACATTTCTAAATTATTTTGAGAATTTCAACTCATGTTTTCTTTTACCAAAGTTAGTCTAAAACAGACATGTTCACCAGCATTATTTTCTTTGAAAGATTGGTATTAGAAATAATGAGATGAACGTTTACTCACAGAATATATACAATAAATATTTTTAAGGATGTTAAATTTAAACTATTAATATGGTCTTTTAAATTGTGGGTACTTAAAAAAAATGTTATTTTCGGAGTTAGTCATTTCATGGTAACCATTGGTGAATGGATTTAAGTGGACCTCTTCGAGCACAACTAGCAATGCTTGTGCTTGCTAAGAGTCATTGATTTGGAAGAATAAAAAATAGACATTTAATGCAATTTGAATATGAAATTCTTATTAATAATTAAGGCTAAATTTTATAAGTCATCCTGTCTTGACATTGCTTGGATTTTCCAATAGTGGCTTATTTTGCAAAGATGCTACAGTATCTACACAGGAAAATGTTCTTGGCTATTTCGTTTTGCTATGGATTTCAAATCCATACAGAAATATTATTTTATGGTATTTAAGTTATATTTTTCTTGATAGAGAGGATGTTACGCTTTGTGAAGAAACTAGATTTTTGTCCCGAAGAGGATGAAAATTAGTATCAGTTATCATGTATAGCTCTATTTTTCTAGAAACGGTGTCCTGACTACTTAAGTAACTTTTATAGCTGACTACTTTGGGGATGGCTACCTTTGGGGATCTGAAATAATTCGTTGTTTAATGGGTTTTAAGATGAAAGTTTAGAATTTGACAGTTTTTAAAGGGATGATCTTTGTGGTAGATGGTGTGTTTTTTCTAGTATAAGCCTATTGCTGGCAATGGGCCTATTTAAGAACAGCTGATTTCTACAATGAGAATTAAGGTAATTTTAGGAATGTGGTTTGTAAATTCACATGTATTGTAATGGGCCAAAACCATAATCTGCCAATTTGCAATACATTTTAATCTTTTAATACTCTCACCTGATGCTGTGTAATTCAACTCCTAAACTAGTAGTTAGCTTGAATTTTGCAAAAGTGTTGGAGGTTTTTTTTTTTTTTTAACGCGAAACTGGGATATTTCATTATGTGGGTGAACAAGAGAAAGCAAGCTGCGAATTGTACTGTATCATGTACATTCCTGATTTAACACCTTAAACTACAGAACATTTTAAAGTACCTTATATATAACAAAATGGTACCATAAGATTCTCTTTTTGCAAAGGACTTTGTCATAATAAAAATCAGTGGGCACTGACTCACGTTTTGAGTTTTAACAGACTTATTTATTTCTTTATGATGCACTTTTCTAACCCATTTTTAGCTACACTTGTGTTACTTTAAAAAACATGCTTTTATATTTAAGTATTGTGGGATTTAAGTGTCTTTTCAAAATAGCTTATCCTTCCTGAAAGAAAATGAGGGAAATACCTTGTATTATTAAGAGACTTAACCCAATATTTAAATATGCTGTTTTATAACACTGCATCAGTTATAGGAGGTGCATCTCTCCTGATGGCTCTTTTATATTTGAGCAAGATCAGTGTATTTAGAATATGTTTTAGAAACTTGTCTGTTGTCTCAGTTTAGTGAGAAGAAGGTTCTGTGTGTGCCTGAATTGAAACCAACTCAGAAATTTTTCCAAGCCAAATGCAGCCTTAGTGATAAGAGATTTAATTCTCCTTTGTTACTTTGTAGCTTATATGATTAATTTTTTTTTTAATGTATCTGCATTATGGGGGGAAAAACCCTATAGAATCTAAAAACAAAAACTCAAAAACCTTGGTATGTGTATTTTTGATGCTTTAGAAAATAATATGTTGAATACCTAAGGTATGTAATTTGAGTAGGAAAAATTTCTATTTAGTGCACCTTGGAAAATCACTGTAGGTAGAAAGAGAAGGCTGTGTTAACGTGTTTTTATCTTGTTAACATCCTCAGTTAAGTTTGAATTTTTGAAAGTTTTGAGGAAAATGACCTATGGAATCTAATGTGAAGTATTTAGTAGGTTAACTGATAAGAGTTGAAGATTTTTACTGTTTATAAACAGATATCATTCGAATGATATAAATGTCATTTATCTGCTGTCTTAAAATGTTCACACACAAATATGGAGAATAATTCTACAATATAAAAATATTTATTTTAATACTGAGTTTCAGTTAAGTCATAAAACAGTGTTAAAACTCTTAAGAAGGTGGAGGGGTTTTTTATTTGTTTATTTGTTTTTTAATTGAAACTGTCAAATATAGTGTTTGACCATCTCTGAAATGGGAATTGTAATAGCACCATTTTGATGTAGCTGTACCAGTACTACGTGGCAATGCTATTTTGTTTTACTAACAAGCTCTGGAATATTTAGCCGTCATTTTCACTGGCACAAGAGCCTTTTGTATGTCAATTTAAACTTTTAAACCAAAAATTTTATGGTCCAGTGTCTTTGGCAAAAAGATGCTGAAGGGAATGTAACATACAATTAATCTGTGGTTATATATAAAAAGACACAAATTGCCATGTTATGGTTCTGCCTTGAAACAGCACAATGAAGTGTATCAGTGTATGCTGTGATTCTTTATGAAGCTTTCATATTGTGTTGTTTTTGTGTCTGCTGTTGCCTGTTCTTTGGGCCAGATGTGGCACAGTTAAATGCAGTTATCATCTCATTAAATGCAGATGCCGATAAAATGTTTTTAGTGCTGCAACATTTTACCTAACTTTTTGTATGTTTTATGACTGTATGTTATTTTCCAAAGCTGTTCCTACCTCACCATGAGGCTTTATGGATTGTTATGTATTATAAATGTTCTATATGAGACAGACTACTGTGTTTCTTCTCATTTATTAAAAGTAGAAAAATAAACTAATTTTAATATCTACTTCATCGTTTTGTTCATATGACCTCCCCTGTTATGATAGGTTGGGTTATAAAGAAAAGAGTGGGACTTCAGATTCTAAGAGGGAAATTATAGCTTAACACAGTGGTGTGTTAGAAAACAAATGTGAGAAAAAAATTGCAGTAGAAATCGAAAGGTTAACTCACTGCAAAGGCTCAACAATATGAAATACTCAGTGGCTGTGAAATTCTTTTAGTTATAAGCATTTAACTTTTGGTTTAGTGATCATTTATGTAATTATAGACTACTTAACCAACTTTTGCTATTATCTTCCCAGGCAATACGGTCTTTTATTATTATTATTATTATGGCTTTAACAAACAGATTTATTCTCTTACAGTTCAGGAGGCTAAAAGTCCAACCAGGCAATATGGTCTTTCAAAAAGTATTTGCCAACATTGCCTAAAATGTAATTTCATGTACTATGTATTACACATTAGGATGAGAGCTGGTGCTTTTAAATTAGATTAGAATATTAAGAAAGTCAAGTGACGACACTTTTTAAAGACATCCCATAGAAATTTCTGAGCTTTCTGTATTGACCATTATTTTTGCCCCACTCTATTATTGCCTTCTTAAAACTAACTTATGATACTTTATTTAAAAATTTTTATATGAGATCAGTACTATGTCGTGCTCATCTTTTATTTCCTCGGTTATATAACAGTAGGACTATCACTGGTAGGCATTCAAGGCTGTTTGAATATTACGGAATAGCAAGAGTGGAAGAAGATACAGTAATAATAGCTAAAATTTTAACCAGTAATTAGTTGCCATCAAGTTAACTAGACTCATGGCAGCCCCATGTGTGTCAGAGAACTCTGTTCTGTAGGTGGTGGTTTTTTTCTTTTTTTAACATTTGGATGAAAGTTTACAGAGCAAAGTAGTTTCCCGTTTAACAATTTATACACATATTGTTTAGTGACATTAGTTGTAATCACCTCAATGAAACAGCACTCTTCCACTTCCTCCTTAGAGTCTCTATTTCCATTCACCCATCTTTCCTGGCCCTTCCTGCCTTCTGAACTTTGTTTTTGGAGAAACGCTGCCCCTTTGGTTTTGTATGGTTGATTGTTCTGAGGAACACCTTCCTCAGGGGTGTTATTGCTCACTTCATAGGCCTGTTTATTGTTAGCTAATCTCAGGTGATCTCCAGGAGTGAGTTTAGTTGCAGGTTTAAAGGTGTTTAAGGTCCATAATCTCAGGGGTTCTACCAGTCTCTATCAGACCATTAAGTGTAGTCTTTATGGTTTTTAATTTTGCTCTACACTTCTCCCACTCTGCCCACCAAAACCAAACCAAACCCACTGCCATGGAGTTAGATCCAACTCATAGTGACACCTCCTTGTGTTTCGGAGGCGGTATCACTACGGAAGTAGATTGCCCAACCTTCCAAGGAGTGGCTGGGGGGTTTGAACCTCCAGCCTTCTGGTTAGCAGTCCAAGGAGTGGCTGGGGGGTTTGAACCTCCAGCCTTCTGGTTAGCAGTCAACTGCCTTAGGCAGTACGCCACCAGAGCTCCCCCCACTCTGCCCAGGACCTCCAATAGTGATCCCAGTCAGAACAGTTGGTAGTGATAGCTAGGTGCTATCTAGTCCTTTTGGTGTCAGGCTAATTGAGACTGTGGTTCATGCAGTACATTGGTCCTTTGGGCTAAATATTCCCTTGAGTTTCATTTTCTTCATTCTTCTT